TGGGTTGCAGGGTATAAGGCTTCAGGGCAGTTCAGTTTGGGTGGGTCAATGCTAAGCTTGTGTTCGCTTGCGTTCGCCAGGATACTGCACCGAGACAAGCCATTTTTTCACAAGGGGCTCAATGGCTGCCCTTTCTGCCCAGCCCGTTCCCACACCGAAACAAGCCATGAACCTCGAAAAGACCTCGGAGAAGATCATCGTTACAAAAAGCGTGACAACTTGAATGCAACAAACTCCCATGGCACCACCAAGCCCAATGCTCAGCCTGAAACCAATTGACGCGAACTGACACCAACTGAAATCAACTGAAAGCAAGTGAAACCGCACAACTCGAGCTTGGGCCGGTGACCTTCGACTGTCCAGGCTCCGGAAGGGAGAGGTGGCTGTCGATGCCGATCAATATCTCAGCGCTTCGAGTGATGCTGACGTGTTCACCCATTTCAGGCCGTGAGGGCTTGCGGCCTGCGCTCGGCCCGGCTTGGCTTGCTCTTTGCGCTGCGCTTTTGGGTCTCTTGTGGTGCGGGGGAGGGGTTTTTCGAACTTGTCGATGAGGGTTCCAGCCGTTCCAGGTCGCTGCTGAAGCGTGGTAAGGGCGATCTACCGTCTGCTGGCTTTTCGACCTTCCGACATCTTCCTTGCAACAACAGCCACCGAGGCACAGAATTGGCCACGATGACGAAAGAGATGAGGCACTCGAACCACTCCTCCACAAGTTTGCATCCGGACTGCACATCGGCTTGAAGATGCCAGGCCCTTACACACCCGGACCCTCTGTTCAGACCACCACATCAATACGACCGAAGTTTCCCAAAACACCTCAAGAAACCTGCGAGGCCCATCGACGCATAAGCCCTGGATCCTGAGTCCACCAGAATTGGCTGCATGGGGGTTCTGAAATAAGGTTTCCTTCGAAGCACGTCACCTGTCCTTCTTGACCAACTTCTGGCAAGACATCTGGGTCCTGAGACAATGGGCTGTGCCCCCCACAGTACAGCTTCGCACAGCTTCAGGCCCTACATTCAGACATCTGACATATTGATCATATTGTTCTTTCTGTACAGTGGTTCACAAACGGTTCACTGGATCACTTGAGCACAGAGGCAACTTCCAGATGCCCTCCGAGATGTGCGGCAACTCGTGGGTGTGTGACTTCCTGGGAATTTGCTCTTTGGGCTCGAGGCTTAGCAGCTTAGCAGCGTCTTAAGGTGGATGAAGGCCTACGATCAACCCAAGGTACGCGCCATCATCAATGCAAATCAAAACGTGGTCGGACACTGTACCCCACGCGCTCACGGAGGCACCGTGAACGACACAGAAAGAATTGTGCGGATAGAGTACCGTGCCAAAATCAAATCACAAGATCAGAAGTTGAGGTCAGGGAACGTCAACAATCCGAGTCCGAAGTGGCATCTTGCCCGACTTCTTGCATGGAACTGAAATTCATTGAGCTGAAAGTCTCTCCCTGTCTCTCTGAAGAACTGCAGCACTGAACTGCTTGCTGTAGTACTGGTCGGAACGCGCTAGAGCTAAGCCGGACACGCTTTAACCTTTCCCCCTGGAAGCCGCAAGCCTTAGACCTTTGCATATTCAGAGACAGACTCTGCATGGTGGTATGCTCCCGGACTTTCTTCAGGAGGCGGCGGGTGTGCGGGTTGATCGATGCATCCTCAGACTCAAGGTCATGCGGGAAGCAACTTCTTACAATGCCTTGAGGGATTCGACTCTCCCCTAAACGTTGGGGTTCGCCTCAACTCAGCGCCTCAGCCTGAAGTCTTCCCATGCTTCTCTTGACTTCGCTTCTGAAAGCCAGAGTCAGCCAGGGGGCCAGATCCTCGAGGTGTGTCTTCTTCTCCTTCTCCTCCAGGCGATGGGAACAAAGCGATAGAAGAGCACGGTGCTAAGCTGCTAATCGACCTCTTGCAGGGCTCTGCCCCCCCAGCCCTGGGCAGCACTGGGCATCCTCCGCCGTCTCTTCGACACCATCGGCTCCGGATGCTTCGGCCTGTGGATCTTTGAACGCTCACGCGAAGGTGACTCGAATTGAGAGACTCGAATTTGACTCGTCTTTTTCATTTAAGGACTTGCGCCAAGGATGTAAGAGATGACACCGACACACTGGCAAGTGGTGCCGTGCCCAGCTGTCCTGGCCTCCACCACGGAGACCTGGCCAAGGAACAACAAGCAAGCTCAGCACTAGGAACAGCCTGCACATGTGCTCCCAAGCCATCAGTCTATCAGTGGCTTTCGAAAGACCTGACAAATCCTTGGACGTAGGTAAAACCGAACATCGCCCCCTGCCAGACCCCGATGCACCCATCCATTAGGAGGCCCCCCCGGGACCCCGCCCTAGGCAGGCTCTTGCCGTTTGGGGAAAGACAAGCCACTCAGCAAAACGACCAACTCACCCCTCTCTCCCTCTCTCCCTCTGTCCCTCCCTCCCTCCCCCTCTCTCTCCCTCCCTACCTCCCTCCCTCTCTCCCTCTCTCCCTCCCTCCCTCTCTCCCTCCTCTGCAGGCCCATGAGCGCGTACACAAATCAGGGAATGATCGGTTTAACAAGGCCCACAATTGGTTATGGTGGAATCTAGGTACAAGTAGTTGCAGGTAGTTCCTTTTGCCCCCCCCCCCCCCCCCGCTATCGAGGCAGCAGCGCCTCCATGCCTTATAACATCAACTGAATCAACATGGCACAGCAGCCCAACCCCGCTTCAAAGGAGTTTGAGCGATCTTGAGGCCCTCCAAAGACCAAGCGAAAGAAACCACAGTTGTCACCAAGAAGCAACCAGGAATCTTCCCACGACACCCCGTCAACCCTGCCTGAACTCCTTGGCGTTGATAACTCTGATCAAGTTGGTCAAGTGCGCTTGCCTGCCTCTCCTGCGCCAGCAAGAGGGAAGGAGGGAGGCATGCGCCCTCTTTGGGCTGAATTTCAAAGAACCTCGAGTTCCACCGGGTTGAAGGAGATAGCAGACCATCGAAACTTCAAACCCACAGCCGAGCAATCCGAAAAATTCGCGGATTGCCTGCCACGACTGCGAAAAGCGGGTCAAGGCAGACTGAGACCTGTAAGCAGCGGTAGATGTGGGAGTCGGAGTAGTTGCGGGAGTGCGCAGGTTTCGTGGGAACCTTTCCTTCCATCTGCGGGTCTTCCGATCTTGGGACAGTCCCAACAATAACAGAACATTTTGCTTTAAACTACTGCAAAGTATATTGAAGGTCTTGGTGTGGTACAATGCCCTTTATTGCGCGGGATGCTTTGTGAACAAGAAAAGCGTTTACGTTTGGGACCGCGGCGTTGTCTGACGATTGGGCTTCAGATCCAACGGCAACGGCAAAACCAACCGAGCCAAGACACACAAATGCAAACAGGCAACAAACGAAACTTCGGCTGCTATGAAGAACCCACAGCAAATTCCAAGTCTGTTCCACTCCAATGGTCAACTCAGTGGACGTTCGGCCCAACTGGGTGTGCCGCTTGTGGTGTCCAGAAGTGGAGTCCGGAGTCCAAGTCACACAAGGAACCCCCAAGGACCTTGTGGCTGTACCTGGCCTGCGTCTGAATGTTCCTTTACACCGTACTTCAAGTCCTACAGATGGCCTTGCCAAGGACTCCTCCATCTGCCACAGTGCTGCTTGGACAGCTGCCTCCACAGCGAAAGAGAGCAAAGGCGCGAACCCGAAACAGCCGAAAAGATTCGGATGAAGCCCACAATGCCAGGTGCTTACGAGCGGAGAAAAAAAGGTGCACCTTCCTCAAGCACGTGCCACAGCAGTCTCGGAACCCTACAAGGACCTATACCTGCTTTCGACGCAGGAAGCCGAGTCAGCCATGCAACTGGTCCAGAATTGGGTGCCGGCCTGCTGGCGCTTGAGGCCTACCAGGGCCTCCTGGGGGCGCGCCAAGAGCTTCATCAGCTCCTGGGCCTCCAAAGCATTTCGCCCCGTTTTCTTGGGGGATCCCCTTGGGCCCATCTTCTTTGCCTTGACAGGCCTGGGGATTTCAAGAGATGCTTCGCAAGACTTCCTAGGTTTGCTCCACCCCGGGCCTTTCTCGCCGAAGGCGAGGGCTGCCGGAACTTTCCGCGGCTTTTGGTCCAACCAAAAACCCCCACCAAACTTACGTGACTCGGATCTCACTCAACTCTTGTTCTGGCTGTTGCCTCTGGAGGCAGCTGATCCGTCGGCCGAATAGGCCGTCCAGAAGCATGTTCCTACAGGCTGAAACAGGTGCAACAGCCGAAAATGTTTATCGATGTTGATCGATGTCGGTCTCACCAGGGTTCAATGCGACTGGCACTTTGCCACACTTTGAGGTGCTACTTGGGAGCGGCTGGGTGTCACGGCATCGAAATTCAGGGCCATACTTCAGGGGCGTTGGCGTTTGAGTTTGAGCTATTGTTGCTGCCGCCCAACCTGCAGGGATGCAGGGCAGCTGTCGGAACAAACGAGCATGGCAGCGGCTGCTGTGCGAGGTGACTCTGTCCAAAGTAGTAAAAGCCCTGACGGGAACATCTCGTCAAAGAGGTCGCGGTCAAGATGTTCCGTGTGCTGCAATTGTTTTTGTTGCGCAGTTCTTCTTGAGGATGGTGCAATGGCCTGCTTTCTTAAACTTGGGGATCGGAAGACCAAGTATCTTTGGGCAAGACATGCTTCCTGGGTCCCAGCAGGTATTCACCTGCTGGCATGTGGGGGTTTGATGCAGCACTTCTCTGTCCCACAGCTCAGCTCTGCTTGGGCCAGGGGCAAAAGTATCAGCATTTGGAGCGGCGGAACAGCTTGATGGCCTCATCTGATCAACAGGATCAACAGCCACAACCTGCACTCATAAACTTCCCAAAGCTTTCGCTATGGAAGGCCCTCAGCGAGTCCACGGATGCAGGCAACTGCAACGCGGCGTAACACCCGATGTAAACATCTACAGTAGCGTGTTCACGCAAGACAGGAGCCATCCAGCGGCACTGCCGCTATGACAATACGTCACAACACGCCCGAAGAACAAGCCTTCATCATGCGGCCGCCGGCCAGGTACGGCCACGACAGAGCCCTGAAGCCACGCAGTGCTCTCCGGTGGTTTTTGGCAGAGCTTCGGGGTCCCTTCACCTCCTCTGTTTTGGGGGCTGAGGCTACCTAGGCGTGTTTTCTTGCAGGGACGCCACACTGCCGTTTGGCGCATTTCCACAAGTCTCATATAGGTCAGGCCCCTCACTGTCCTGCTTCTGAGGATGGCACGAACCAACTAACCCACTGCAACGCCTACGCCTACTTCTGAGGGCGGCACGAAGCCCATCCTGGGACATCCACAAGAGCCTTCTTACAGATTCGTCTTCCTATGATGCGCGCTCCTCGAAGCCGCCATCCTCATCCCCCCAGACCCGGAGGCGAGAGAAGCTGAAAGGATGAGCGTAGAAGCAACCCTCAACCCCTACAACCTCAGAGCCCAAACCTAGATCCTTCCATTCCCAGGTGTTCTTGCAGCCGAAGCTACGCTGATTCATTCTCGTATTGGGAGCTATGATATCGGGATCTTCGAGGCAACACACCCAGAAATGTGCCTTAAAGCCGATCTGCGTTCTCAGCCGCGCCAAGGCACGCAGCGCACAGCCGGGGCCCTGCATGTGTCGCGCCGCAGGGTGTCTCGCGCTCCCAAGACTTGCCCCAACATAGTAGTACGGGTAGGACTGAAAAAGTCTGGGGTATAGGACTTGCTAGGACTCAGTAGGAGACATGGAGGTTGTGGTGTGGTCTGGTGTGGTCTGGTGTGGTCAGTGTGGTCGGCGGTTTCATCGAGCGCTGCATTGAACGCTGCAGGTAATGCAAAGGAACGATGCCAAGGCCCCTCAGCACACTCAGTCGAAAGACCCGGCTAGCACCTGACGGTGACATGATTCTTCTTGTCGAGTGCCACGGACGGCGTTTACAACACAGACAAGCCCCAGCGCCCCAACATCCTTCAGCTCTCTTGCTGCCCACATCCTAGGTCTCCAGACAGGGATGCTGCGGAGGCCTTGTTTTGACACGTAGTGATTTCAAAAACTTTTAAAGACGTGTTGCAGCCCCTGCTCCAGATTCGATAACTCCACATTGTTTGGGGGGCCCTGACCGCTACATTTCACATTCCACACTTCTACATGTTTGTGGGGGAGAAGTTGAAGTGGCCAGTCTCAGAAAGTCTTAAACCCCAAATTTGGAATTGTGGAAGGTGCTATGCAGAGAACACTGCGGAACGCGGATTCTTGGGGCGCTAGCTTATTGCATCATGGACAGTATGAAAACCTATGAAGTCGCTGTAAAACATGGCGACCCTGAGGGAGTCCCAATCAGAGGCCCAATGCGCTGCGGTACCCGAAGCCCGAAACCCTGACATTCCACGATCCTACCATGCCACATCTTGGCAGTTCGAGTGTCCTTTTCCGCCGTGGAGAGCGATGGTCATTTACACGTGGCCCCAACGAATGCCTTCCCTGTGGGACGAGGATGGCGCGTGTCCTCGATCGTTGAGCAGGCAGTGAGTTGCCTCAACTAGTCGTGCAAGATAGATTCAGATAGATGAGATGCAGGCTCAGATGCTCATCTCCTTGTCAACACCCCAAGTACACGGGGAAGGCATCAAGCAAAAGGCTCTGCTCGGAGGACTCAAACGCCTAAGTCCGATCCTACAGTACAACCGTGGCCCAAAAGCCGCGCAACCATCATGTTAGTGTCAGCTCACCTCGATTGTATAGGCCGGGCTTGAGAAGAACGTCTCATTAGCTCCCCGATCCCGGCTTTTTCTTCCACCTAATAAGTGGGAGCCAAGGATCTAGAATCTAGAGCAGTTTTGGGTGTCCAGGCATCGGGGACCTCCACGCATGTGCCCAAAGTCTATCTTAGGTTCTCTAGAAAAAATTCACAGGAAAGGCATGGTCAAAATGAAATGGGTCAAATCAAACCTTGACTGTTAACTGCTTGCTTGCAAGAGGGAGGTACAGGCACATTCGGATTGCCATCTCTCACTGCTACGTTGCAGCGTGGTCGATGGCCTGCAAACAAACAATCGCCCCACCACAGACTGCTAGAATCACAGATGCGGGTCAAGTGCGCAAGCATCTCCCAGGGCTACGGCTACTGTCCATCCCATTCCAACGCTGTGGGCAGCTGTGAGTGCCTGCTGGATGATACGGACGATGTCACCTTGCGCCTGGCGCCGTTCCGGACAATCAAGGCAGGAACGTTTACGGATTAGTCGTTGGGCCCTTAACCCGATTTCGAGAGTTCAACATAGTTCGACCCTGCATTATGATAACTATGACCAGAGCCCCCTCATGCCCTTCCATCCTCCAGGTCCTGAAGCTTTGTGCGTAAAGCTGGTAAGCGGAGTTTGCAGTGAGAACTCTTACGGCTGCCAAGATGGGACACCTGGAAATCCGCGAAGCTGTCGGAGGAGTCTGAGGATGTCCTATAGGGATCTTCTAGTCAGCTTTCTCGCGCATGCCCTGAATCCATGGGCTGCCCCATCTGGGCTTGAGCGGCCGCTCAATGAACCCTAACAGCCCTTTGAGTTGGGGCCACAAAAGGCCCAGAAAGGCCCTCTCGAAACCCTCCAAGACATCCCTCAAACTGGTGTCCCCAAAAAAGCCAGAAGTGTTCTTCTGCGCCATGCTGCGCCTCTTCAGCCCCAGTCACGGTCTTCGTCTCGATGATGCGGCGGAGGGCTCCCAAAGCCCAGGGCAGGGACTGAGCGGAGCTGACAATTACTGACAATGTACCGCCATTTTTGGAAGCTTCAAAGGTTGGAGCCGGGGGGCCCGGGAGGTTGGGCTTGAGGGGGAAGGGAACCGAGCGATCCACATCCACACCCGAACCCAAGAAACCCAAGACCAAAAACTCCTTTCAACCAAAAGCCTGGAACCCCCCCTTGACATCGACATGCATCGACGGCCTTGACCCAAATCACCTCGACCCAGCGCTGCAGCTCCACCCCCTTGTCCACACGCACGAAGCGCAGGGTCTCCTTCCGAGTTTCATGGGGCCACTCAAGCTGGCCATGGTCGTGACAAGTGATTCCTGGACGGTCAATAGAAACGGCAAAAGGTCGGGGCCCTGAGATGCGCGCAGGCTCACAAAGGCGAAAGCAACAAACAGGGAAACCTCGCCCAGCCAAGAACTTCCATCTCCCAGCATGAGAAACCGAACGAGAACCCTCCTGTACCTACTTCTCGCGCCGCAGACTTTCAAGACTTCCGGCGCCTGCACCCGGAAGTGCTCCCCATAGGGCGCATCGTGGCTGCAAGTTTGCATCACAAGCACAACCTCAGCTGGGCCTACTGGTTACTGCGGAGTGAAGCGGTAGGACGCTACTGCTCTTGTTCCCCCCCTTTTTTGAGTCGAAGTTACCGGCTGGGCGTCCGCGATGCCCTGCAGGTCCTCCTCCAGCTCAGCAGTTGCCACTCTTTCGGTCTTGGTAACTACGATTAATCAGATTGGGAACGACTGTCTTGGAGGTCGCGTGCTCGATTTTCTGGGTACTGGTGATTTAGTGGGGCTCCCTGTTCACTCAACTCGCTCACTGGTTCTGAGATCACAAAGACCTGGACCCAAAACAACCTCGGATGCCCTGCTCAGATTCCAATCCTCGTTGTCCGGGCTCTGACCTGCGCCATCCAAGCGGACCACAGTGGTGCCGTTGGTCTCCTCAGGCACCTGGCCACATGCGTGGTGCAATAGGTTCTGGGCAGCGGCAGCAGGGGCTTTTCAATGTTCCCCTATGTTCCCCTGAGGACCTACAGCTTGGCTCTCTTCAAATCTCGCATCGGTTTGCCCCCCTGTTCTGCACGGTCTTCAACATTTAAGTCTTGACGCGGCTCGGTGAGGAAAGCGCAAAGGGCGGACTGTCAGCTCCGCGTGACGGCGAACGCCCGTTGCGCTTCCCTTCCGCTCTCGGAAACGGCTTCTCACTTTCGAGCCGCCAACCTGTCAGGGAAGTCCGGCAGCCGGGCAAGCCGGATAACGACACAGGGGAGATTTCACATCCCTCCCAACAAAAACAATGCGGCATAGCTTGGCATAGATTTCTCTATGGCAAGACCGGAGCCCTCAGGCCCTTAGGGCCTGTGGAGCTCGAAAACCTGTAGGGCATGGGCTTCTAGGCCGCTGGGCCTTCGAGCCTATGCCGTACAGACAGTCGTTAGCTCGCACAGAGGATCAAGAAAGCCTCTTTGCCGGGCGCATCTCCGCCCAGGTGTGTCTGTTCGTAGAAGGGACAGCAGCCAGCCCCTTCAACTGGGGCGGGAAGCCTTTGACGTCCTGGCAGGAAAGGGCTTCGAGATCAGAAGCTCTATAAGCATTCAGGAGTGTAGGATTTTGCCCTAAGGTTCTGGAAAGTTCTCTGTGGGCACGGACACCAAACAAAAACACTCTGCCTTACTCGCATCTACCTTTTCAGAGTTGACTCCCACAGGCTCGTAGCGGCCGTCCCTCACACGACCAGCCGAGACACTTGCTGCAGCTCGCTGACAGCGTCGCGGAGTAGCCGTAGCATCCTCGGCTGTGCTGTTGAGACTGGATGCTTACGTGTTGAGTCCTTGCCCAGTGCCCTACAACTTCGACAGCTTCTCCGCGACGTGACTTGTGACTTTGGGGAAAGGCAGGATCGTAAAAAGTCAGCACCTGTTCAGAGACGAGGGAAAAAGAGAGGCCCAATTAACTTCTCAGGCAAACATCGCACCCACTTTGTGAGTTGTTTGCAATACCCCCTCCCTCGCGTACCCCAACATCACACATGCTGCATGCTCCAACCAAAGCCGGGGCCCGTGAATTGCGTCGCGGCTTCTAAAATTGTATTCATTAACGGAATGCTTCCCGACCTCAAACACTGCACGCCAACTCCCAACTCGAACTTAAGACCCTGTCCTTCCATCCCACATGCGTGCTGTACACGTCCCTGGACAAGCTTGAGCCCAGCATCCGCATGATCTGAAGTGATGAGATCGGAACCTCTCGGCACGTCTTTCGAAGGCGCGAGAGGTTGGGCGAGAGTCGGACTGCTCGGCTGGGCTTATGTTGAATTGAGAGCAAAGTGTGTGCTTCCGGTCGATTTCCTGGAGCTTTTTTTTCCCCCGCAGGCGAACCCCAGGTCCTCGCGGAGGAAGATGCTGAGGAGGCCTTCCTGGAGAAGAAGGTTTTTTCGAAACCCAACAATCTGTGCTAGGGCGAAAGAACCCTGGACATCAGAGCCGGCTTGAAGAGAATCCACTGCTCTGTGTTTGGGCTTCAGGGCATGTGCGGAGCAAGTTGCAAAGACCCTGGCCGGCAAACATGTGACAGAACTGGGCGGAAGGCCACTACTGTCCCACGAACACGCCTCGAACTCAGCGCGCGTGATTCGCCCAGATCCGTCCACCTTGAGTTCGACATTGGGCAGTAAGGTTACCTAGCTGCCTAGCGAGCACAGCTTGCCGCTCCTGCCGAGTCTGTTGGGTAAAACTGGCAGCTACGAGTTGTTGGAAAACTCCCAAAGCCCCTTGTTATGACTGCAGCTGCCCACATCCAGGATCTTGAAGAGATCCTCCATGCTGTCCACGGAGGCGCCTCACGAAGAGGCCCTTAAAAAAATGCGCATATAAAGGCCACTTTAGCCATCACAAACCCTAAACTCCAAGTAATTTCTGCAGATTCAACCCCCCGAGCTCCATCGAGGCGCGGTCCAAGATCCGGCGGTTCATGACTCTACTCCCAGGCTTCTCAAACTGGATCATCTCCTGGCAAAAAGCTGTGCCAGATGACGTAGCTTGAAGGTTTCGGTGTCCCTTTTGGAGTTGAAAACCGTTGAGCCCGGCCCTTCTCTTCAAAGCCTCCCGGAACTTGACTAAAGCCTGCTAGATCCGGATGCCCCCCACTGCGGTACCGAGGAAAGCTCCTCGATGCCAATCTCACCGCTCCCATCCAAGTCCATCTTGTCGAAGAGGCCCACGATTTCTGGCAGCATTTGTTTGGCGGTGATGTTGTCCAGCTTCCGCTCCTTCGAGTCAGGGTCTGTGTATTCTATGTCTGGGGCCTTCTCCGAACACAAGACATGGTTGTCCTCTTCGCGGTCTTGCCGAGCATGCTCGAGCGCTCCCTCAACCTTGGCTCCCGAGACTTGGGCAGCGCATGTCAGCGAAAAACTGCTCCTGGCTCCTAGCTGTCCTTTGCCAAGATCGCCGTTTTCCTGGACACTACTAGTACTAGTAGCAATAGTAATAATGATAGTAGTAGTAGCAGTAGCAGTAGCAGTAGCAGTAGTAGTAGCAGAAGTAGTAGTAGTAGTAGTAGTAGTAGTAGTAGTAGTAGTAGTAGTAGTAGTAGTAGTAGTAGTAGTAGTAGTAGTAGTAGTAGTAGTAGTAGTAGTAGTAGTAGTAGTAGTAGTAGTAGTAGTAGTGGTAGTGGTAGTGGTAGTGGTAGTGGTAGTGGGAATAGCAAGTAGTGGTAGTAGATCTAGTAGAAGTAGAAGAAGACGAAATCGAAGAAGAAGTAGTAGTAGTAGTAGTCGTCGTCGTCCTTCTACTTATACCTAACCACCTACTACCACTACCTAACTACTTCGACTACGACTACTAGTTAACGACGACGACAACAACAACGACGAGTGGTCACGCCCTCTACCTCGATCTCCACTCGCATCCGCAGACAGCCATGCTGAGGTCGCGTGCTTGTTGCTTGACGCTGCCGTTCACATCGTTGCACGCGGTCAATATTGATACGAAGTGCCACGGGTCGGATGAGCACATCCGGTACTTGACGACCTGTTCTTCAACGACTTCATCGACATGGGCTTTACCTGTTGTCCCTCCTTCTCTTCCCCTTGATTCTGGCAACGACATACAAGATCATGCAAGCGCACTGGACTAACGATCCATTCTTTGTTCCAAAACGAGTCTCGTCGTGAGCATCTGTACGACTGATAGCCTCATGGCATCCATTGAACCAAGAAGTGTGTGTGTGTGTGTGTGTATAAGTATATATTGAAAACATATGTACGTGTCTCTTTGGCTGTTTCTCTTTTCTTAGTCTTCTTCTTCTTCTTCGTCTTCTTCTTCTTCTTCTTCGCCTTCTTCTGCTTCTTCTTCTTCTTCTTCTTCTTCTTCTTCTTCTTCTTCTTCTTCTTCTTCTTCTTCTTCTTCTGCTGCTGCTGGGCTTAAAAGGGGAAACCTCCTCACGCACGAACGCGTGCCCAGTGTAACAGCCTCTCTCACTCTCTCTTTATCTCTCGCGCCGTGTCTGTGTGTGTGTGTGTCTGATGTACCGGGTGGAAGTTTCGATCAAGCTGCGAGAACAGCCGTGATCAGGTTCATGAGGGAGATGGACACGATGGCCCCGAGCGGCAGGAAGTACAGCCTTCACCGGTCACGGATCCCCGGCCGCTTAAAGTCATAAGCCTTGAAATGACTCGTAAGCCTAGACCACCTCCTAGCGCTCTCGAAAAAAATACCAAGAGCGGCCCGGTCTCAGCAAAAGTGGCTGTTCCAAAACCAGCGGCACATAAACTGGAGCAATGGAATCCATGGTCACAAACTGCGACAGTGTCATCATGGTCCTGGGTGGAACGATGCATGATGGCATTGTGGGAAAGATTTCGGAAGCACTCTTGACTGAGGATGGTCAGCGGCTGTGTGAAGCCACAAAGGCCCTGTATGCCGACACTATGCACATCCTTGCACATAGTCGCCCGGCACATCCGTAAACACTCACGTCCCTGCTGCAAGCATTGCGCTTAAGACATGCCAAAGGCTCATACCAAGGGAGCCGAAATACTTTGCGAGGATGGGGGCGGTCGTTGCATTCGACTGGAGCTCCTCGTTGCCCGCGATGACCTCCACACCTTCTTGGGGGAACTGAGATGAACTGAGGCCTTTGTTCGCTTCTTGTCCATGCTCCGAGTTCGAGAGGCTTGATTTCAAGTCTGGGAGGGCTCAGGGTGTGGCATTGGCTGCTTCGGCCTGTGCGCGATTGGCGGATGGTTTTGAAATATTGGATTCTTTCTTCGCTCCCACATAGCTCGGCGTTTGGGGGTGTTTGGGCTCCTGCCGGCCTAGCACACCAAAGACGTAGATCACCAGCCCCAGCAGCGCAAAGGTTGAGAACATGGTTTCACCGCATGTGATCAAGCCGTAAACCAGCCGCCAGATAGATCGAATCTGCCTCAACATTCGAAAGGTCCGGACAAGACGTATGAGGCGCAGGAGCCGCAGGATCATGATCTGGTCGGCTTCGTCACCAGTGAACCGGTAAACCACTTGCTCAACGCAGGCGCTGACAACCAAGGTGAAGTCAAAGATGAACCACCAGTCTGTAAGGCAGGCCCACTGTTCTGCGATCGAGCGGATGAGGAGCTCCACTGTGTAAATGGCCAGGAAGCCCAGCTCAGCAGCACCAGCCCAAGTCAGAGCCTGGCCGTGCAAGCCCATCTGCGTCTCCAGGCCTCGCAGGGAATCCGGAAATTTACGTGCAACGTACTCGCATGTACGTTGCTTGGTCTATAGAGTATTAAAGTGCAGACGCTCGCTTGGGTTTGTGAATCGAAGCTGGGGTCTCTGCCCAGTGCAAGGGACTCCCCCAGCGTCCGCTTGACTGAAATCCGCATCACTGAAATGCTCATAGTATTGCAGCCCTTGGCCTATCATCACAGAGTTTGCCACGATCACTGCGGAGATGAAGCACTCGAACCAAACCTGCACTTCCCCCAAGATGCCGTTCGAAGCCTCTAGATTCTATATACGAGCACTGCGACGGAACTTTGAGCAGTGTATTTATGCATCTCGGCCCCGGCCCGTGATCGTCAGAGGTTCCCATGAAAAATCCTGATCTAATACCAACCCCCCCCCCCCCCCCCACCCCGAGAAGAGACAAGATGGACACCTTAGAAGGGTGAGGAAATGATTAAGGCCTTGGCCCAACTTCTAGAGCTGCTTCACGCAATAAACTCAACTCCACGAGCAAAAGCTCTAAACTCTTGACTCCGCAAGAAGCGAAATACCTACCAAGGCCTACCCCTAGACCTCTCTAGGACTCTAGGGCCCTTGGACCTCCATCAAACGGGCTTTCTAGATTTTCGGGCCGGGTCCAGGAGCGTTGGCAGCGTTGGTTTCCGGATTCAGCATCTCACGAGCCGAGCAGAGCCGAGAAGCCGTCCGGACGAGGACTTGACAGCGGAGGCGGAGTCGCAGCCACAAGCCTTACAGAGCTCTAAAGCGACAAAATGCGACGCAAAGTCTCACTGCAGATGCTGTGTCACACTGTGTCACACTTCTTCTATGCAAGGCCTGCAGACGGCGGATCCAACGTCTGGACCTGTGGCGTGGAATCCTGACCAAAAAAGGCAAGGGAGACGACCAGGACCAGGAGACATGCGGTGCATGGTGCACGTGTGTGCCCTTGACCCGAGACGCTGCCTAGCGTGCAACCCCCGAGCTCTTAAGACTCCAAGCTTGCCTCCACCTCCGACATCCCAATAAAGTGCTGTACTGTCGATCTAGATCCCAAGAACCTTTATCCAATTTTATCATGAGCTAACTCCAAACTCCCTGACAAGCACGTCAATCTTCCAACAATTCCTAAAGTCAGGAATTGTCAGGAAGAAGGACTCCGGATTCCCTCGTTAAGTCTGCTTGAGGTCTCGAAGGAACAAGGAAGACAAGGAAGACAAGGAAGAAAAGGAAGAATGAAGAAGCAATCCGAGGCCCCGGGCCTGCTTCTTTATCCTCGCCAGCAAGCGGTGGATCTCGGGGTTCGGCACGATGCGGCTGTCGCGGCGCTGCCCCTGCAAAAGGCTGCGGTCTAGGTCTAAGTTTTTCATGCTGCCAAGCAGGTTTGGGCTCGCTGTCACTCAGCCATCTCGATTGAGGCGGCACAAGCTCGAGAAAACTCAGAATCAAAACCAAGGAAGGCCAGCGCGGGTTGCCAGCCCACACGCCCTGCCAAGACCCCAGTTGGGTGCAGCTTGCCCGTCAAAGCTTCAAAGCTTGCACCGGGGGCCGCAACGGCTTCAGAATCCTTGTCATCGAAGCTTGGGCCTGTTGAAGCCTTTTCTGTGACAAGCCCCCAAACCTCCCAAGAAGAATGACCAAAAAAACACCACTTCAGGATCCCCACAAGCCCCCCCCCCCCCCCAAACCCATTGGGGCGGGAGATGGTTTCTGTATGCCGAGCTGCTCCGTTCGCTCCGTTCTCCGCAGTTCCCGCACACTCCGCATTCGCATCGGCCGGGCCCTGGTCGCCAAGTCTGGGCCAGGCCGCGTCCTCTACGAGAGCCCCCCCCCCCCCAAGTGCGGCGCAAGAACTCAAACAAGGAAAAATGCATCTGCGTCTCCTGCAAAGCATCGGCCTCGCCCAGCCGGCCGAGTATTCCTGACTTAAGGGGCCCTCAATCCATAGCAGGTCCTTTGAGGTCTATGGAGTTTATGGGAGTCTATGGGGTCCAGGGATCTCCAAGGGGTTTTGCACCTGGCAGCTCTGTGAAGGACTCGCGCGACCCCTTCAAAACCCTTCCAGCCGTCCTTGAAGGACCATCTGAGATTGTAGCCATGTGTCCTCCGCAACGAACGAAACGAACGAGGTGCGTTTTATGCTTGGGGGGTCGCTCGGTGTCCGTTCAAGAGCCTTGCAGGACAGGCTTAGGGGAGCTCTTATGCGCAGTAGGCCTCTCACACCCTCCGAAAACATGCGCATCCTCCATCTCCGACAGTGACTGAAGAACGCTGGCCTCCAGCTGCACATCGTCAGAGCTTGAGAACGTCTTTCTGTTAGAACTTGCTTGGTGCATATGTCGCTCCATCGTCACATGCTTCGGGGCGAATTGCAAAGTCTTTGAAAAGTGTCAGCCTGACAATTAGCCCGATACACTCCACACCCGCAACTCCGGAATCCCGGAATCTAACTTAAGCTGTTTGCCCGAGAACGCCTCTGAAGGTCATGGACTTTGGGGTGCCTTAACATGCCTTTAACATGCCTTAACCTCTGATATGTTCAGAGAGAAAACATACGCGTGCAGATATTTGCTGACACATTATGCTATGTACTCGCGCGAGCAAAAGGCCTGCTGCAGGCGGATGCCTTCGATCGCCTCTGCGCCGGTCGGAGGACAGCGGTCGGAGGACAGGGGTGCAAGTTCCAGGAGGACAATGCGCGCAGTTCGTGCGAGTAGTGGGCGAGAGGGGTGCTTGCAAGCTCTGAAGTGAACCCTCAGATGCCCGGCAATGTCCGGCATGCTCACAACTAGAACTTCGATGAATGCCTCAACCAGCATTTACAACCTTCGTCTCTTTGTCATCCCAAACTCTCGGCAGAGTCAGTAGGTGAGGTTGCATTAATTGCATGGCCTCGCGATGCTTCGCCAGAGCGGCCCATAACTCTTGTGGTGAGTTCGAGTCCTCAAACAAAAGTTCTAAATGCCAGAACGAATCAATGAATCCAATTGGCAGAGGGCCAAGGGATTCAATGGGTTTCAAGATGCTTCCGGACCCCGTCCCAGCCTTTCGCGCTGGAAGATCTCTTTTTCAAGCGCTCTAGACACTCTAGATATGCGCCCCCAAAGCGGGGGCTGTGCATGAGGGCCCACAATGCAAGATGCAACGCTACGACGCCCCACCATTAGGCATTGGCCTAATGTCCGCAAATATGCTCCGGAAATCTCGCCCACCGCATCCTGCTGCTGCTTAAGTGCCTAAGCCAACCAAGCCCACCAACAAAAGAAACTTCGAATGCAAGCCACATCCCAAGCCAAAATGCTGAACCTGTTGGTGTGAACATGCGTGAACATGTTTGAACATGTGTGAACCCCTGCGACCAGTCCAGATCCCCGGCATCGCCCACGGGCCCTGCGGCTGGCGGCGAGGGCGCTGGACACGGCCGGCAAGGTGCCATTGCGGCTACGGGAAGATTTCTCTGGTGGTTTGCTCTGCAATTGCAAAGCCCAGCTCAGGGGCACTCTTGGAACATTGAGGTTGCAGCCTTGCTCAGTGGGGCCGGCAGGCCCTGGGGCCAACGTCGCAACCGCGCAAAGCTTCAGGCTCATGCTGATCACGGTCCCCAAGTCCCCAAGGCTCACAGGAAGACTTTCATGTCAACGAGAAAAAATTGCCCTAGCACCCCAAGACGCGCAGAAGCCCTGCGACGCCCTGAAGCCCTTTCTTCGACGTTCTTCGCGTTTGACACTGCCCAGGCACGCTGGATGGGTTGGACCTTCAGAGCTTAGCTAAGGCTAGGGAAGAAATACGATCAGTGATAAAGAAGAGCCGTGAGACAAGAAGCCGTCCTATGCAAGCCCTAAGCCCCAGGCCCTGAACCCAAAAGGAAGCAGCAGTGTGGCTGGGCAGCCTCTTAAGCCTTAAGCGCGCCCCTTTAAGGGGAAGCAACAGCGAGGCCGCGAGATGAAGTCTGGGCAAGGTGATGCAAACTCTCGCTCTTTGACTATGCTCCAGTAAAAATTCATTTGTGTTGGTTTGGGGGGTTGGGAAGCTCAGCTCCAATAGGAACGGCCTGCCATGCAAATTAAAAGACGTAGCAAAGCCGCCAGGCTCCGGGACTCACACCCAATTCCTGGTGTCTGCCACATCAGCTTGGACAGTTGCTCAGCGATTGACTGCGACAGGAGACTGTGCTGCCTATCTCCCCAGTCAACCACTGCTCAGGTGCACCCGCTAAGATGGATCCGAAAAAATGTGCGGGTTTAGGCGCTTGAGGGACTTGAGGGATTCGACTCTCCACAGAAGCGGCGAGGCAATGGTCAACTTTGCCGTTTAGTGATCTATTTTCGTCTGCCGGCTTCTGGGGGCGCATTTTGGGGTTCAGGCTTTTTCGGGATCCATGAAAGGGGATTTGCGTTAACACTTTGCAAGGGCTACGTACCGGCTCGTGCACGTTCGGCTCGATTCCGTTTGGGTGAAACACGACCCTTCAGCATAGTAGCATCACTGAATTGCCCTCACACTCCCTGAATTGGAACACCCGAAGCATCTTGGAACACCGCAACCACAAGACGTCGACACAACGCACATTGAATCCCAAGCCCCCACACCTTGAGTCAGCCGCTTACGGCCCATCAGGAGAAGAAAAACAGCCTGATTTCTTCCCCTCCACCCAAACTCGACACGCTTAGGTACACTTAGCGGGGCGACAGCCCCATGGCCGTTGCGACCGTCTGCTTGATGATGTCCATGTCCACCTGTGACATGTCAAGGTTCTTCGCAATCAAGATATGCACGTTGCATCGAGAAGGAAGCACCAAACATCGAGAACCCGCTTGCCGCTGGCCCAAAGCGGCAAATCAACAAGTGCAACATCTTCCTTCAGATGCGCGTCCACGATAAATTGGTTTGCCTTATATGGATGTTCTGCTGTGATTGGACTTTACGAAAACAGTAGTGACCCTGGAACTTGAATCGCCGACACGGTGTCGACTGCGTTTGGTCACCTGTGGTCTTTGGTGCTGAGGCTTCAGCTGCTTCAATTGGATTCAACTGCGGATCCTGCGGCCTTTTCACCACCCTGAGCTGCCTGCACTTTGTTCACTGTCTCGCGTAAGAGGCGCAGCGTCTTCATCATCTGCAGAATGGACACAGGCACCTGAGAGGAAAGGAGAGAAAACTCAGAGCTCAGGCTTCTTAGGAAGCCGGCCGTCTCCCATCTCACTTGCGTCCGAAGGTCAGTGCCAGCGATTCCGGGCTTTTGTATTTCTTGTAACCCAGCTGCCTGCCCTTCCCAGTCCACTGTTCCAGGAACCCTGCAGAGGGTACTTCTGCATCTACACCTGCTTGGGGCCTGGGGTAGCAAGGCAAGGCCGGTATCTCCTAAAAACACCTTGTTTGGTTCTTGCAAGCAACTCAAGTGCATCACAAGCAGGCCTTGTGGCAACCCAGGGGAAAAACACCTTGAATGGTCAGTACCCAAGGCTAAAGGACCCAGGCCTCACGCAGGAAGATGTTCAAGAGACCCTCGACGAACTCCTCCGACGGCAAGTCTGTTGGCTCCAAGGCCAAGTAGGAACACAGTGGAATATGGACACAGGGCGTCTTCGAGTTCAGAGTGGCTTTGCATAAGGTTCCGGCTTGGGGTTTGAGGAGACTGCAAGACGCCTTGCGCTAGCTCCGGGTGTGCCACGGCAATGCACATGGGCCTCACGGTTGACCTTGCCAGACATGTCCACGTCGAGGATCTCAAACAAGTCCTGACTGGTGAGTTGCGTCGTTTATTGTGGATTGGACGCCCGTCGTACCCCCTAAGTACAGGAACGTTGGGGCTAGGAGCCTACGTTTTAAATCGGGCTGAGAATCCAGCCCTCCACGCCACCATCCCCAAAATCAACAAACAAACAATGACAAACAAACAAACAAACAAACAAACAAACAAACAAGCAAGCAAGCAAGCAAGCAAACAAACAAACAATGACAAACAAACAAACAAACAAACACGCACGCACGCACGCACGCACGCACGCACGCACCCCCACACACACGCACCCCCACACACACACACGCACACACACACACACACACACACACACACACACACACACACACACACACACACACACACACACACACACACACACACACACACACACACACACACACACAACCACACACACACACACACACACACACACACACACACACACACACACACACACACACACACACACACACACACACACACACACACACACACACACACACACACACACACACACACACACACACACACATACACCTCGCATTCACACATAACACATATGCACGTACATCATTTCGATGCACACACAGACACACGTATCACGTATCACGTGTCACGTAGGGAGCC